AAGAGGGAAACAGCAAAACTGATACGAAACAATTTACTAATGATTTCCCCCAACTGTACAATAATAGATTAGCAAAATACATTCTGTGATTTCTCATTTAGGACACCAGCAACAGGGATGTAGGCTATAAAACACTAATATTGATAAGAAAAGGCAAATTGTATTAGAGAACCAGGAGAGCACTGGCTGCAGGAGGCAGCACACAGAATCGCAGAGCCATAGAATGGTTTGGGTTGGAAGAGACCTTAAAGGTCATCTAGTTCCAAGCCCCTGCCATGTGCAGGAACACATTCCACTAGACCAGGTTGCTCAGAGCCCTGTACAACCTGGCCTTGAACATTTCCAGGGTTGGGGCATCCACAGCTGCTCTGGGCAACCTGTGCCAGTGCCTTGCCACCCACACAGTGAAGAATTTCTTCCTAAGATCCAATCAAACCTGCCCTCTTTGAGTTTAAAGCCATTCCCCCTTTTTCTATCACTACATGCCCTTGTAAAAATTCCCTCTCCAGCTTTCTTCTAGACCCCTTATAGTTACTGAAAGGCCACAACTAGGTCACCCTGGTGTCTTCTCTTCAAGTTGAACAAACCTAATTCTCTCAGCCTGTACTCATAGGAGAGGTGCTCCAGCCCTTGGATCATTTTGGCGGCCTTCCTCTGGACTCGCTCCAGCAGGTCCACGTCTTTCTTGTCCTGAGGACTCTAGAGCTGGATGCAGCACTCCAGGTGGGGTCTCACAGGGGTGGTTTACACACACCACAGTGGAATAGAGGGGGAGAATCACCTCCCTGAACCTACTAGCCATGTTTCTTTTTCGGCAGCTCAGGATGTGGTTGGCTTTCTGAGCTGCAAGTGCACTTTGCCGGGTCAAGTCCGACTCTTCCTTCACCATTACCTCCAAGCCCTTCTCCCCAGGGCTGCTCTTGACCCCTTCACCCTCCAGCCTGGATTGGTACAGGGGTTGCTTGGACCAAAGTGTAGCACCTTTGACTGGTTCAGCATGTCCAGGTGGAATCATACCCTGACATCCCCAGAAAATATGGCTATATATTTACAAAGAGACCAAAAAGCTCCATCAAAACAAGAACATGTTTCTTACACAGCAAGAGAAGAGATTTTCTAGATGAAACAAACCCCAAGAAACAGCACTCCCACATGGTCTGTTAGCTCAGCATACACTCACCTCAGATGGGGAAGCTCTGGCTGCCTCTCTTCCCCCAATCTCAGCTGGAAAAAGCAATGTATTGAGTATCCTAACACACATACACACTTGGGATCTGCTTTGCAGAAGGACACACATGCTTCTGTTCAAGCCACCACTTGCTTTCACTTATGCACGTGTCAGGTCCCGACTTCACCTCTGCAAAAACTAATAGATCTCTTACTTTGAGAGCCACAGTCAAGCACAGAGAAATTCTGAAACCCTAGTAGGGGTGACAGGGTAAGGTCCTGTCATTAACTGCCAAAAATACAAAATGTGCCTAAAAAAATCAGCATACCCTTCACCTACTGTTAAAGTACCCAATGCTGATGATGCAGGAAATTAAGTGAGCACAGCAACAAGTTGTGCCTCTGTCCAAAAGCACAAGGAGGCTAAAATTAAAAACTGCTCAAAATAACCTGCTGTGGTCCCACAGAAATGCCCAAAGCCCTCCACTTGTGGTACAGAGCACCACAAGCCCACATACATACTGCCAGAGTAAGTGGTGTGACAACAGCCGTGGGGTGAC